ACGGATAAATCCGTCTGGTAATTACCTACAGGATTCTGACGGATAAATCCGTCTGTAATTACCTATAGCAGATTCTGACGGATATATCCGTCGGTAATTACCGACGGGTTATTTTAATCCGTCTGTAATATTTACCGACAACACAATTTCCGATCGAATTTTGTCCGTCGCTAATCCGTCTGTAATATGTATTTACCGACGGATTTTTGTTGTTATTGACGGATTTTGTCCGTCGGTAATTCCAGTTTTTCTTGTAGTGTTTTCACATCTTTCGCTTAAATTTATTTTCTTCCAGATTTTACTTAGTTCAAATAAATTTTGCTTTATCATTTATATATTCATTAAATTGTAATATTTTAATTTGAAATTTTTTAAGTAATATTACAAATATAATTTCTTTATAATTTTTATCTATTTTACTATTTAGAAACAGTAACAGCACTGTGCCAAGGTAAAAGAGTCTTAAATCTTAAATTCCGCGCAGGAAAAATATTTGTTTAAAATAATAAAAAATAACTAATAAATAGAAAATTTTATTCAAATCAAAATAAAATTGTATTAATAAAATTAAATATTATATAAACTTAACAATGGAGTTTTTAAATGCAATACTATTATTATGTTTTAACAAATAGCAATAAATATTATGTTTTTCATAAAATAAAATAAAAACTCAACATTAATTAGAAAATGTTAAATACATCTATGTTCATTATTATTATTATTATTATTATTATTATTATTATTATTATTATTATTATTATTATTATTATTACTAAGATTTTATTTATGTCCAAGTGCTTAGGTAATATTTTTAATATTTCCTCTGTTTTTTAATATAAGATACATTTAAGAGAGAAAAAAACAGCTTCATTATTTATAATATCTATGCAACTTTAATTTATTTATTTTTTATTTACTTCTATTATATATTATGAATAATCTGTTTTGTATTAATTAATAAAAAATACAACTTTTAAAAGTGGTTAATAGTAGCCATTAAATTGGTCTCTTCTCCTGGAAATTGCAGTGCATCTTCTGTAAGAGAACATTAACATCTTCTCTCCTTAGTGTTGTCTACCACTGTTTGTGGCTGACAACCATGTTAAAGAAGAAACAAATTCTTTGCATAATGTTTTGCCAATTACAGACTCTCTTTCTTCTGAAATACAAACACTATAAATATCCATTAGTTGGATTCCCAATTCAGGTTTTGGGTTTTTTCTTTCTTCTGATTTTCAATTTCTAGGTAAAAATAAATTTATTTTATTTTTAATAGCACACTAGTTAGAATTATATATTCCAGTTGTTTATAATAAATAGTACCGGTATCATGCATAGGGATTGATGTCATGCTTATAATAGTAATATTAACAGATAATTAATCAGATCTTCCGGGTCTTCGTCCTCGCCCCACCTTTTACTCCAATTAGGGTTAGGAAGTAATTGCCTTTTCCTACGTGGTCATTAGTGTCGTAATCCTCCTCTTAAACCTTAATTACCCTCGTTTTTATCTCATCATCACCTTTATCCTACACTCACCACCCTACAAGCAAATAAAATGAGACAATAATGATGATTTTTAACGTCTCGCACAGTAAACAGAAAAAAATACAGGTTAAAATTCATAATGAAGTACAACATATGGATCAACTTGATAATGGAGAAACGCGTATCAATAAATGATTGAGTAGTTGAATTCTTGCATTACTGTTCTATGTGTGGTTCGTAATGTTAGCTTCTGTGTTAAAGACTATATAACTCATGTAGATACATAGTTATGCAGTTTTTTTAATGATAAAGAATATTTGCAGAGGAAAATCCAATTTGAATCTTCAAAAACTTGTTTTTCTCGTGCACTTACTTACCTGATAAGAAAATACAAAATAAACAAGAAAGTAAGAAAGATCTAAGTAGTTTATATTATACATTTGAACAATTTTTATATAAATACGACTAAAACCGTTTATTTGATAAACTACATAGACAAAACACACAGTTTATTTAGTTTATTTTCTGATGCCATTTAAATTTCGGTCAAACAATTGGTGGCTTTAGAAACACGAAACCATTTTTGTTAGCAATATTATGGCCATAAAAATTAGAGATAGATATAAAAGTCAACAAAAAGGAAACGAGATAATGATTATTACAATGATGAAGTCGACACCCTCTTGGATTAGTCAACGTCCATTAAAAAGTCAAAACCAGTTTTTTTTGTGGTTGATCTGTCTCTGTATCTTCAATGTCTGAAACTGAAATATACAACAATTTTAATAATAAACTGAAAAATGGTAGAGCAACATTTTTATTTTATTTTATTTTATTAATTTTTTCTCCATTTTTGTGGAGAACATTTTTTAGCCGCGTGACTCATTAAAAATGTTTTGTTCCCTCTATTAAATAAACAGAAAAATATGTATAAATTTATTTTATGTCATTGGCCTTCATCTTGTTTTTCTGAATTTACACTCAATGAAACGTAGAGTCCTTGTGGCGAAGTGTTTCCTCTCATTTCATACGTGTGACGGTGGTAGCTTTGAAATTGAATTGTATTATGAATTATGAAGTGTTGTGATTAAGAGTGGACCGTGGTACTCTGGTACAGAACCTGCACACTTCGGCGCGCCAGAGGACAACATTTTTACATCTTCAATGATTCTCAAGACTTACAACCTAAGAGATATGTTTGAAACTTCAAACATCAAACTGAACACACATTTAATTATAATAAAAGAAATTAATAAACCCCTTTGAATAAACTCGTCCAAGTAGATGATTTTTCAGGACGAATGGTATTCTTACTTCTATATATTATATATTTTTCTATTTAGAACACTATATCATTTTACCCTCACAATTCTTTTTAGCAAACAATATATGAAAAACATGTCACTTTGAACACGCCATTGGGATGGACCTTAGAAATAACATAAAAATGTCGGACCCAGTTGTGGTAGTTGTTTCCTTTTTTATTTTCTTTAACCAAAAATAAACGAGGGTTAAAAAAAGTTTAATTTTTCCCCAAATATCACCTTCCTATGATGACAACACAGTTAAATAGCGCGTGAGATAAACATTATAAAACACGCTTCTTTTCTTCAGATACAATTAAACCAATAAATGACTAATTAATAGCGCGTGAGAAAAAAAAAAAAAAAGGTCTATTGATTTCATCTACGTGAAAGAAAAGGAATGATGACAATGTTTCTTTAAGTTTAAACCAAAATCCAAAGGTTGAGATAAAAAATCAGCACAAAACATTACTTCAACATATGCTAATAAAAATATAGTCTAATATAGTGAGATGATGTTTTTTGTATTAGTTTAATCCTAGCCTCTAGAATTAGGCTTAAATTTGAACAACATATTTATCATATGACGATATATTTGTTAGATTCTTACGGAATTACTAAATAATTTGCATTGTATCTAAATATTACACATATTTTATATTTTAAAACATATGAATTTAGGATATAAACCCAGAATTAATATGATACACAGTTAAACCTATAATTAAATATCAGTAATCATGATTTGTCTTGTAAGTGGTGACATCCTATCAAAGCAATGCCGAGGTGTACCACTATGGTTGTCTTTTGACTCTCTTTTTCAAAGTCGTCTTCCACATTTGAAAAAACAAGAGTATTTATATGTTATTTTTTTTATTAATAAATGGTTTATGTAAGCATAACACTATCATTTATTATTTTTGTATAACAATAAATTTCAATGTTTATGTCAACGATGATTTTCTCATATTAAAATGATCACAGTTTTATGTTTTTCATATAAATTAAAGTTAAAAATAAAGATTTTTTTGTTTTTACAGTTTTACTAAAATAATCTCATTTCTACAATAAATATATTACTTCTATATGTTATATATATATATATATATATATATATATATATATATATATATATATATATATATATATATATAAACATAGTTATTTAATTTTTTGAAGATAAATAAAATAATTAATACTTTAATAAAAATTAAGAACATTTAATGATATGAATTAGAACATATAGAATAAAATTAGGGTGTGTTTATTTTTTATTTCTAAAAATAACTTGTTTAATTAAATAGTTTTTGTTTTTAAATTTTTAAAAACTAAAAATGTAAATTAATAATATATTTTTTCCCTTTCAGTTTTATAATTTTATTAATTAATATCAATCATTTTATTAATAATTACTCATTTTTATCATTATAGAACTATTCAAATTATTTTCTATTTTTTTCCTCTGATTCTTTTTATTTTCTTCTATATAAACTTATTATTTTAAATAAAACTACCCAAAAAGTTTTTTTTTCAATTTATTTTTAAAAACAATTTCGTAAAATTAATTTCGAAAACTATTTTTAAAAAATAAAACAAAACCTTATTCTCTATTTTCTATGTATTGACCATTCCTTCATATTTCAGTGTAATTAGGAAATCATGATCACGGTTAATTATAGCTGCATGTAATACTAAATTTATTTATTTTTTAATTTGAAAAGGGATAGGCGAAAATTGCAACGTGTCGTAATATAAAGAAAAAAAAGTTATATACTATTATAAAGACTTTTTTCTATAACATCGTCATTAATATATATGAAAATGAAAATAACTTTTGCACTACAGTAGTTTCAAAAGTCATACCTATTTAATAAAATAATTGTGTATAAATATTAAACTAAATAAAAACATTGCAAATGAGAGAGATTTAAATAATATAATGAGATGACGAGTTTGAATTTCAATAAAACTACACACACACACACACACACATATATATATATATATATATATATATATATATATATATATATATATATATATATATATTTGTATTAGATAATGTAATAGTTATTTAAATCATGATCTGAATTATGCGATATGGGATTAAAGTGTGTCGAATAAGATAAAAGATATAAAAAATAGTGGTAAAATGGAGATGGAAAAAGTGAAAGGAAGATGGTAGTAGAAGAGAAGAGGTGTAATATGGTCGCAATTAAGAGGGCAAAATGTAAGTAGGTCACCACTTTCTCTGCCACACCAAACAACCAAACCTTGCGTCATATGCAGAGATATTCATAAAAAGTCCCTCTAATGTTCCAAGAAAATTAACATGATAACAAAATCCTAACTAACGTCGATTCAACATTAATTATAATTTACTTCAACAAAAATAATTTTAAAGATATAAAAAAATTAATTCCCATCTACTTGAATTGAAAAATCCTTATTTAATTAAAAGGAGAAGATTTTATGAGCTACAGAAAAAGCATGTTGTGTCGTGGATTAATGGCATTATCAATTTTGCGTGTCTTGCCCATCCATTAAAACCGTCCTTTGAATTTATCGTTCAACGATTGTAGGTGACACTCGTCACTTTAGAATAGACACACAATTATTTCACACAGAAAATTACAAAAAATATATATATATATTTTTATACTTTATCCAATTAAAATAAAATGTACAAAAAAAAACTATTTTTTGGTACATACAAAAAATGAACACGAATTTACCGGTATAAAAATCATTCTCATTATACAATGTGATTAATTACTACATTTACTTATTGAATTGTTTGGCACTCTAATTAAAATAAAAACATTAGGAAGAAAATAAATTACCCTTTATTGCACATTAATTTAACTCGTCATCAAAAAGTATATTGAAAAGATTGTGAATTTCTTATCTTGGTTTTCTAGATGAACCGTCTTGTCCTGAAATTGTCACTCTGATTTTTAAGAAAAAAAAAAAAGACCAAGAATTGTTCAAACTATTAACGTCGTTTCTTGAAAATTAGACAGTGATGAATTTAATATTTAAATCGGAGTAGAAAATAAATTGAAATACATTTATTCCAGGAGATGTTGTGATTTTGTCACGCTTTAGCGATGAAACATTGTGAGGAGTCGGAACAATAAAAATATTTAAAAGTTGTTGTTAAGATGAAGATGAAGAGAATGTAAAAGGGAAGATTTGGTTGAGAGTGATGGAATTTGTAACGCTTAACAGTGACATGGCGCCATTAATTGAACGTTGAAGATGAAGTTGAATCAAACACTGTTGTGATACCTTTTTAAATCAAATACATTTGGGATCGTAGGTTCCAATTTTGCCACCAAACTAATGAATTTCTAGTCAAATAGGTTGCTTCTTCCAACAACTCTCTTCCAAGGCCAATAAATTTGACTTTATATCTTCACTTCTGCAGCTGCCAATTTATTAATATTTAAATATACAACTATCATCCCCTTTTACTTTGATCCTTTCAATTAAATATTCAAATCACTCTTAATAATATATTATTATTTAATCATCTTTGCGTCTCATTATACTTTACGATTAATAAATATTTATTTTTTATGTTTTCAATGTAATTAAGTTTTCTGTAAAAACTCCATTTTCATAAAACGCGAGGCCCAAATATACCTGTCAGCTATCATTTGCTCGGCCCAATTAACAATTCTTAGATATACATCTCTTTCTTGTTAAAGCTACCCTCCTTCTACACTAATAATCATATATATATATATATATATATATATATATATATATATATATATATATATATATCTTTCTCTTTTATTATAAAAAATAATTTTATTAACCAATATTTTATATAATAAATAAATAAGAAAATTTTGGTTACTGTTTGCCTCTTCTATATTCGTATGTTTTTTTCTTACTTGATTTTCTATCTTCAACATCTAAAAACAAAAACTAAAGATGAAAATATTAATTGGTATTAATTTTAAATGCATAGATAATTTGCAATCAAAATTGAAAGGATGAAGCTGATGCAGCAAGATGGACCGGACCGGACCAAACGTCAGATAAATTACATAGATTCACAAATTTTAGGCCCATGATTGTTTGGTCCGTGGGCTCCAACTCATATACCCAACTCTTAATTTAATACATGCAACTACAATACAAAAAATATTTTTAATTTCATATCGAATTAAGTATAAATCTAAAAATATATTAAAAAAATACGAGTATCTTAGACAATTTCGGAAAACTGTTTATGAAAATAATTTAAAAAAATTGTTTAATAACTCTATTTTTAAAAATTATTTAAAACAAAAGAACATGATACGGGTAATCATAAAAAGATGTTACGAAACTTTTAAAAATAATTTTAATAATTTATAACAATACAAATAATTTTTTTAATATAATTATTGGATAAAATATTAATACTGAAAAAAAACATAACAAAATACACATTTTATCATTTTTTGTTTTTTTTTTGTTTTTAAAAATTTCTACTAACAAAACAAAAGCATTTAAAAAAAAAACTATTTTAACAAAAAAATTATTAAACAAGATTTTAGTTTTTGAAAAATTAAAAATTAAATTTTTTAAAGAAAAAAAGGCCCTTAATAATTACTTAAAATATGATTATTGGAAAAGAAATGGAATAAATATGATATTGTAGAACCTTATAAAGTAAGATAGTGATATCACCTACTGTGAATGTTCTATAACGCCACATTTCATCGTATTTCTCTCTATTTCAAAAATACTTAATGTTTTCTGACATTTATAAAATTTAAAATTATATTAATTATTCCTCTATTTTTTAATCGTGTTTTATTATAAAACAAATAAACTACTTAAATTATTTTAATTAAAAAATATTAAATAATAAAAAACTAATACATTTATAAAAAATAATAACAAATTATACGTATATTAATTTATCTAACTAATATTTAAAGAAATTATATTTTAAAAGGGAAAGGCAGCCAGGGACACAACTGTACTTTCTCCTATCAGATATTTTCTCTCAAAGTCAGATATTTAAGAAGAAGCCGTTAAAATATCAGCGCCTCCCTTTCCGTCCACGTTCACCTTCAAAACGGATATTACAAGCATACACATCATTCCCAAATAATTACACCGTTTTATTAATTAATTAATTAATATATTATTACGAGATAATTATTAATTAACGAATAATCTCTAATTATTCATCGTATCCTTAACTAGTTTCCGTCACTCTCGTATTCTTATTCATTTATGTTACTACATCAATAATTTCATTTTCTTTATTCAATTTTATTTTTATATAAATTAATATATTACCATACGTAGAAGATAGGAATCTTGGCAACAAAAAAATTGGTGATCTCTTTTAATAAATTGTTTTTACACCAGTACCTGATTTAATACTATGTATTGGTGAATGAAAATGAATAAATAAACAAGTGGAGGGTTATTTTATCTTAAAAATAAAAGATAAAATCCAACTAGCATTGGCGCGAGTACTAGTGTTATAAATTAACCCAGGTTGAGCGACGCGTGGAGGTTAACCCTAGTTAAGAGATTGGACGCTATATAACAAGACACGAGGGTAAGGCATTGTTCTTCGTGCTAATATTGTTGGTTCTAAGAGTTTGTAACCTGTAGGGGCTGTGTTGTGTTTGTTGTCAATGGCTTCTGCAGAAGTTGAATACCGATGCTTTGTTGGTGGGCTTGCTTGGGCCACCGACAACGATGCTCTTGAGAAAGCCTTCTCACAGTATGGCGAGATCATCGAATCGAAGGTCCGTTAGTCGCAGGGATCGGATCTGACACCATTCGGATATGGATTCTCTTCGATCCCTTCTGATCTGTGCTCTCTCATCTGTTTTGCGTTACTTGATCTATGATACTTGTGTTACTATAATGATTCTTTTATTACTCACGCCAATCGGTACGTTCATCTTCATCTTTGATTCAAAGGCGAAGATCGATCGGTTCTAATCTGTTTTTTTATTTTTCCTTTTCATTGTCTCTCAAAATCTCGGTTCCGATCCCGATCTGACACGTTTCTGTATTTTTTTGTCTGTTCAGGTCATCAATGACCGTGAAACTGGAAGGTCGAGAGGGTTTGGATTTGTCACCTTCGCCACAGAGCAGGCTATGAAAGATGCTATTGAAGGAATGAATGGCCAGAGCCTCGACGGCCGTAACATTACCGTCAACGCGGCTCAGTCCCGTGGAAGAGGAGGTGGTGGTTACGGAGGTGGAGGTGGTGGAGGATACGGAGGTGGTGGATACGGTGGCGGTGGTGGAGGTTATGGACGCGGTGGAGGAGGAGGTGGTTATGGTGGAGGTGGCCGCCGTGAAGGTGGCTATAACCGCAACGGTGGTGGTGGAGGTTATGGTGGAGGAGGTGGTGGTGGATACGGAGGAGGTGGTGGTGGATACGGAGGCGGTGGGAGGGACCGTGGATATGGTGACGGTGGGTCTCGTTACTCCAGAGGAGGTGGTGCTTCGGACGGTGGAAGCTGGAGGAATTAGGGCTGCTTTGATTTAGGGTTTAGTGGGTGAAAAGGAAGGGGAGGGTCTGTTGTATCTTTCTCCCCTTGAAATATTGTGGTAATTTTAGGTTTGGAATATGGTTTGGGCACCTGTTATGGTTTTCTCGTTACCGTCATGTGATTCTCCTTTTTGACCTCTGAAGTTAATCTGTTTACTGATTGTTTATAAACAATCCAAATGAATAGTCAGAAGTTATGATCCTAGCACGTCTTATAATATATGTCATATCAGAATCTTTTTTTTTATTTATTTATTTCAATTTTTGTCGTAATCAAAATTCTTTCGAGGTGGAAGATATATATACTCTCCATATGATTCCATCTCCTTTTAGATATAAAGGACATATTCTAATTCTTTTTTACAGTTTTTTTTTTTTTGTTTAGTTACTTTACTTACTGTATAATGCGGAAATTGACGACTGAAAATTAAAACTTATGAGAGAAAAATACTGACATGCTATTTTCTATAAATGAAAAATTGTATATACAACTCAAATAGTTATCAATTATTATTTCACAGTGATAGAAATAAAATTTATGATAAATATAATTTGTTTTACATATAACTTATTTGTATCATCATGTCTTTAATATATATTTATTACATAAAATTAATATACTTTATCATAGAAACTACAAACTATACTATAATATTTTATATAACATAGTTTCAATTAAGGAGGTGTTATGCCATGTTCAAACTAAGTATACATGACTTAGGCTATTATTTCATGATTTAATATAATTAGTTTTCTATGTATATGAAGTGTTAATTTATAGGGGACATGCAAAAGAAACACTTCTATAGAAGAAAACCATGAGCTTCCAATGGTATCTTCACCATGTATTTTTTTTATTTCATACTCAAGTTGTATCCCAAACTCAATTATGTAATTTTTTTATTTTAGTTTTTTTTTAAATTTCTTTATTGCATATTTATTTTCTTGGTTTGGTGTATTTTTGTTGTTATTATATAATTTTCTGTCGAATTTTTTATCGGAACCACCCTAAATCTAAAACCGGATAATTAACACAATATTTTAATAATATTATATAATTAATAATATATAGAATTATATTGTCAATATATTTAATTAATTTATTATCTTATTAAATAAGAGCCTATGAACAAAATGACATTAAACATTTTTCTAAAGAAAATTCATAACTTCATTTTTAATGCAAACCTAGTACTCACCGGTGATTCTAAAATCTCAATTTTTTTTTCTATGAATGGGAGGTTAGAAAACAACAAAACAGTATATATCTTCTCACATATACACTTCCTTTTTTATGTGAAAAAATTAGTATATTTTTTTTTATTATTTAAATCGACGTGCATTTTAAAAAAAAAGTCGTAATTAAATTATACGTGGACAGGTTGTAATTTTACTGTTTATATCAATACTCCATGAATAGATAGTTACATATCTAAACTTAGATTCATACATTGATACGATGAACTACAATTATTCTTAAAATCACGTTTGGATGACTCTTAACTTGATATATGATAAAAAAGTTTTTATTTTTATTTTTAAATAAGTCTTGTTCTAACATACAAGTAATTAGGAATGATATTTTAACACTAGCTATGAGAAGATGGTTATTTATATTTTTCGTTGTTCAAATATGATAGTTCAAGACCTTGGTCATTCAATAATCTCTTAATTTTAATCTCATTTTCTTTTACTTTTATCACATAAAATCTCCACTTATTTTATTTAACTGCTATAATTGTAGTCTCGTTTTTTAATAAATTGAATTGATTTTAACTCTTTTTTCATTAAAAAATCAAATCAAAGTACTGTTGTTTCTGGTGGAATTTCGATCGATTCCGATTCTTAAGAGGTTTTGATTCTAATCAAAATTCAACCACGCAAGTTCTTTTTTACTTAGGCTAGCAAATTGATTTTCAATTAAAATGCATATGAGAATAGAAGTTTACATAGTAGGTATTTTATGTTTAGTGTTCAAAGTAAACAAAGCAATAGAAACGTTGAATCGAAAAACAAAAAATTGAATTGCCAAGAGGTAAAAATGCAGAAACCTTAAATTTGCATTAAATGACAAGAAATTTGAATAGCGAGAATGTAAATGGCAGGAAATCGAGATTGCAGAAAATATAACTGGCAGGAAATCGAAATACGCAAGAATGTAAATAGCAAAAAATCGAAATTACAGAAATATAAATAACAAGAAGTTTAAATGCGGAAACTTAACTTTCATTAAAGGAAATGACAAGGAATCGAAAGTACAGAAACTTAAAGTTGCTAAAGATAAATTGCATCAAATTAGATTACCAGGAAAAATAAAGAAAGCGGTAAAGGTACTCAATGAGCATGGAAATCCAGATCGCCAGAAACTTCATGATGTTCGTCGTTCTCCGGTAGACTTCTCACTAGTACTTCGTTCTCTCGCCAATTTTCCACCCTCCCCTTTTCATCTTTCGCTCTATTTATAGATCATCTTTCAAGTAGCTTCTTAGGAGCGAGTTAACGAAAATCGCTACCACGTTCTTCGTGCACGTTGCAGTTTCTTCTTCTGTGGTGTCAAAACTGCACCCACATTCCCATGATCTTCGACCTCTGACACGATTTAAAACTGCTTCCTATGTGCACGTTAACTATTCTTCTCTTTATGATCTGACCAAGATTTCGATATTTACGCAAGTTAGCCTTCCCCTCAATTTCGATTTTAAAATCTCGAGAACTTTGAATTTGCTTTCGATTCCTCTTAACCTTAACGTCATCTATTATTCCTTCGATTCTCGATTCTAACTCTCGATTTTATGTGTCATGCACTTCTAATTAGACATCGAATGATTTTTTATCCATATTTCCGATTTATCAATCAATCACATGTTTCTCGATTTTTCTTTCCTTCGTTTTTCAATTACTTTTCTCAATTTTCCACTAACAAAAATGCCCCCTTGGAAGAATATAAATAGTTTCCATTTATATTCTTTCAACATGATTCCCGCCTTTTAGAGGCCCATCAGAACTTAGGGTTTAGGGTTGCTGGGTTTTTTAGGGTTTTAGGGTTTCTGGGGTTTTTCAGGGTTTTAGGTTTCTTTTTGCTTTATGTCACCATCACATCAGTCTGTTGCCTTACTGTACACGCCACATTAATTGCCCTTCGTCGCTTCCAGTACTCTAGTGCTTCAAACGTTTGTTAGCCTTTTACTCTTGTCTTTTACCACAAACTTCTACTCCTCCTCTGCATCTTCGTCTTCTTCCTTGCATCCTCACCTTCTATCTTCTGCTTTCCTCTACTCTCCTGAAATGGCAACCTCTTCCAAATCTTCTGATTTTTTGGCCCCACCCCTTCCCTCGTTGGCGTCTAGCCTGCTGGAGATCAATAATCAGAAATTTGTTCCAGTTCCTCTAATGGAGGAAGCTTCTCAAAAGGTCGCTGAGACGCAGGTACTCATCCTTTATACTGCTGATGGTATCAATTTTGCTTTTGGGGGTCCTATCTGCTATCGTGGCGGATCTTTTTTCTTCTTCCCTCAGCCTTCCTTCAGAGAGTAAAGCTCTTGTCCATCAGCCTGAGGTTCGAATAGATTTTCTACACATTGCATCCAGGGCATATCGAACGGGCCCACCTCACAAAAAACCCTCGTACATGAAATGGTTTGATCGAATTAAGGCTAAGTTTGGGGATCATTGGAGGGCTGTAGGAATTTTCGATTTTCTTCATTTGTCTCAGTGTGACTTGTCCTTCTTAGATATGTCTATGTTTTTATCTGCTGTTCATTTATGGAATAAGGACTTGCATGCTTTGGAACTGCCTTGTGGCCCTTTTTCGCCCACTCTCTTCGAAATTGCTGCTATTACCGGGCTAAAACCCATAGGAGAAAAATATTTTAAAGGTGCTTTTTCTTTGAACAATTCCTTAAGATCCAAAGTCGATTGGGAATCGAAAGCCTATGGGCATTTTCTCGAGAAACATTTCATTGATGACTCGACAATTGCTGTTTCTGATGAGGAGTACGTGGCCTTCTTGGTATACTGGTTATGCACCCACGTCTTTTGCCCCCGATCCATCCAAATTACATCCCACCTCTATAACCTCGCCTATATTCTTCACACTGGCCTGTCGCCGCCGTCTCAAAAGAGAGAGGGTCGGTCGGAGCGACGCGATGGTTTTTCGACTCTTTTCGATTTTTCGCGTTTTTATTGGTGGTTACAACGCCTTTAGGTTGTCCGATAACTGGGCTAACCTAGGGGTGAGGTTTTCAAAAGTATCCCTGAGTTGTCCTATAACCGGGCTAACTCGGGGATTTATTTAATTTGGGTTCTATGGAGTCGCCACCGATATTTTTACCATAAACATCGGAAAAGGGGTTTTTAAAAAGGCGTTGGTTTTCGAAAACCAACTTGGTCATTAGAACCAGAGTTGGGTAAGGGAGTTAGTTACGTGTAAAGGAAGTATTAGTTCCTTTACGACGCCCCTTTCGGGTTCCCTATGATAGGCTGGCTAGCTTGAATAAATAATTAAACTGGAAAATAGCGCTTTTACCCTTTTATTACGCGGTATTTAAATTTATGACTACATGGCCCTGGCTTCTATTGCATATATTTGTATGAAAGCGGTAAAATTTAGAAGGATAAAGAATATGCACCTCCAAAGAAAGCTTTATGTATTTTCTTTAAAAGAGAGGGTGCGTTTTGGCAACCCTTCACTCTACAAACTCTCAGAAAACTCCGGAAATGCCTCGGAGGGATCCTAAAGAAGATTTAGAACGCTAAAAAATGCTCTTAAAGACACTCAGAAACTCCGGAAATGCTTCGGAGGGATTCTTAGAGAGAGAAAGTTTAGAGAGAAGGGAGAGCTCTGTGAATTCTGTGTGGAAATGAGGGGGGGAGAGCCCCTATTTATAGTTTTTCGCGCCTGACAGGTCGAGACCGCCGTCTCGTCCATGGCAGAAATCGAGACCGCCGTCTGGAAAATCCAGACCGCCGTCTCAACTTTGCA